GTGCAGTGATTATGAGGCTTTGCATTGAAGTCAGCATCTCCCTGTCACAGCAGGAAGCAGGGGGAACATGTGGACAGGCCCTGGCCAAAGAGTAATTGCCCATCCCAGAGGTGAGAGCTTGAGTTCCAGCAAGCCTCATCATGCAGGCTGGAGTGCTCTGGGGCTTTAAGTGAACTTGAGGGACAATCTAGGCCACAAGGATGGCAATTCCTAGGCAAGTCCTAGTGCTGAGCTGGGTTCAGAGTTGGTGGACTGGGAGACACATGACCTACTGAGACACAAGCTGGGGTGGCTAAAGGGGGCTTGTGCCACCTCTCCTCCATCCTCCAGCAGTGGGTGTGTGGCAGGGAGAAATCCGTGTACTTGGTAAAGGGAGAGCACAGCAACTGGGGGATTTTCCATTGAACTAAGTGCTGCTCTGTCACAGCAGAGACCTGGCAGGATTCAGCACTTGCTGATTAAAGAGCCCCATGGCCCTGAATACCCAACAGCAATACCCAGGTTATATGTGGTGGGCCTTGGGCTCTGAGATGTGCTGGCTTCAGATGTGATCTCTCACATTCCCACCTGTGGCAGCTATGGTGAAAAATGCTTTCTATTTGAGAAAAGCAAGGGAAAAAGTAAAGGGGACTCTATCTGGCACGTTAGGTGCCTGCTTGGCTTCAGTGGGGTAGGTCACCAACCAGACTCTTAAAGTCCCTGAGTCTAGGCCTAGGCTCTTGGTTAGCATTTCTAGACCTGCCTTGGGCCAGAGAGGAACCCACTGTCTTGAAGAGTGAGTCCCAGGCCTGGAAGCATACATCAGAAACCAACAAAAGAGCCTTTGGGCTCTAAGTGAACATCAGGCCTAGCAAAACTCCCCATGGGTTATTGGTGGTGATGGTGGTGGTCACAGAGAGAGGCTCCTTGGCCAATGGAAATGGGAGGGAAGAGTGGGAAGGACTTTGTCTTACGGTTTGAGTGCCAGCTTAACTGCAGTAGAATAGAATATCAGCTAAATTTCTAAGGCTTTTTATTTCAATCCATGGCTCCAAGATAGCATCTCTGGACCCAGCTGGGGCATGGGGGAACTCACTGCCCTGAAGGGAGGGACACAAACCTGGCTGGCTTTGCCATCTGCTGATTGTAGACTCTAAAGTTTTGAGTGAACTTGGGTGATAGTGGTAATAGCAGGCCTTGGGTGAGACTCAGTACTGTGCTGGCTTCGAGTCTGAACCAGCACAGTCCCACTGGTAGTGGCCACAGGGGTGCTTGTGTCCTCCTGCCCCCAGTTCCAAGAGGCTCAGCACAGGGAGAGAGAGAGAGAGACTCTGTTTGTTTGGGAGAAAGTAAGGGAAAAGAACAAGAGTCTCTGCCTGATAATTCAGAGAATTCTTCCAGACTTTATCCAGGAAGAAAGGTACTGCCACCAAGGCAGTACCTTTCTCTACAAGTCTGCAAGAACTGCAGCATTTTTAGGTCTCAGGCCCAAGTTCCTTAGAAGACCTGTAACACCTTCCCAAGAAGAATGAACACAAATGAGCCCAGACTTCCAATTAATTTAACCAAATTAGTGGAAGATCTTTATAATGAAAACTAAAAATCTGATGAAAAAAATTGAAGAGGATACAAAAAAATGGAAATATATTTGAATTTGATGCTCATGGATTGGAAGAATCAATATTGTTAACTTTTCCATGCTACTCAAAGCAATCTGCAGATTCCGTGCAATTCCTATCCATATATGAAAGACATTCTTCATAGAAATAGAAAAAACAATCCTAAAATTTATATGGAACCACAAAAGACCCATAATAGCCAAAGCTATTCTAAGCAAAAAGAATGAAACTGGTGGAATCACATTATCTGACTTCAAATTATACTACAGAGCTATAGTAATCAAAACAGCATGATACTGGCATAGAAACAGACATACAGACTGATGAAACAGAATGGAGAATCCAGAAACAAATTCACACACCTACAGAGACCTCATTTTCAACAAAGTTGCCAAGAACATATGGGGAAAGGACAGTCTCTTCTATAGACGGTGCTCAGAAAATGGGATATCCACGTGCAGAAGAATAAAACTAGATACCTATCTTTCGCCATATTCAAAAAATCAAATGAAAATGGATTAAAGACTTAAATATAAGACTTCAAACTATGAAAGTGCTAAAAGAAAACATTGGGGAAACTCTTCAGGACATTGGTCTGAGCAAAAATTTCTTGAGTCATACCACACAAGCACAAGCAACCAAAGCAAAAATGAACAGCCAGGATCACATTAAGTTAAAAAACTCCTGCACGGCAAAAGAGACAATCAACAAAGTGAAGAGATAACACACAGAATGGGAGAAAATATTTCAAACCACTCATCTGACAAGGGATTCATAATCAGAATATATAACCAGCTCAAACAACTTAATTTAAAAAAAATCAAATAATCCAATGTTAAAATGGGCACAAGATTTGAATAGACATTTCTCAAAATAAGACATACAAATGGCAAATAGGCCTATGAAACAGTGATCAACATCACTGACCATCAAAGAAATGCAAATCAAAACTACAATGAGATATCATCTCACCCCTGTTAAAATGGCTTATATCCAAAAGACAAGCAATAACAAATGCTGGCGAGAATATGGAGAAAAGGGAACCCTTGTACACTGTTGGTGGGAATGTAAATTAGTACAACCACTATGAAGTACAGTTTGGAGGTTCCTCAAAAAAACTAAAATTAAGCTACCATATAATCCAGCAATCCCACTGCTGGATATAGGCCCAAAAGAAAGGAAATCTGTGCATCAAAGAGATGTCTGCATTCCCATGTTTGTTGCAACACTGATCACACTTGTCAATATTTGGAAGCAACCTAAATGTCCATCAACAGACGATTGGATAAAGAAAATATGGTACATCGCAATGGAGTACTATGCAGCCATAAAAAGGATGCCATTTTGCAACAACATGGTTGGAACTGGAGGTTCTTATGTTAAGTGAAATAAGTCAGACACAGAAAGACAAATTTCACATGTTCTCACTTACTTTAGGGTCTAAAAATCAAAACAATTGAACTCATGGAGACAGAGAGAAGATGGATGGTTACAAGAGGCTGAGGCTGGGAAAGATACTGGGGGGTGGGAGAAGAGTGGGGATTGTAAATGGTTACAAAATATATACGTAGTTATAAAGAATGAATAAGACACTATTTGATTGCAAACAGGGTGACCATAGACAATAAAAGTTCAATTGTACATTTAAAAATAATTAACAGTGTATAATTGTAACATAAAGTATAAATGCTTGAGGGGATGGATAGCCCATTTTCTATGATATGATAATTGCTTATTGCATGCCTATAGGAAACTATCTAACATATGTCATAAATATGCACACCCACAATGTACCCACAATTTTTTTAAAAAACCAGGTTACCCAAGCCAGAAATCCAGGAGCCAGCCTTGACTTCTCTCTCCTTCACACCAAAATCCAATCAGTCTTGATTTCTGTTGATTTTAATGCACCCAATGCCTTATTTCAAATCCCCATCACCTTTCACTTAGACCAGAGTCAGAGTTCCGAACTAGTCTCTTTGTCTTTATTTCTTTCTGCCTCCATACTCCGTAATGTATCCAGTTCTACTGCCTTTTGCAAATGCAAAATAATCAGAGTTCTCCTTTCTTAGAAAGATCCTCCAGTGGTAATCCACCACCCATAGCAGTGGTTTGTAATCATTTTTACAGCAGATCAATGTTATTTTCAAGTAAATATCATATAAAAGCCTAATATCTATAAATAGATATGAGCTGTATTTTATTGGGATGAACTTACTTTATAAGATATAAATATATGACTTTATAAACCATTAAGAACATAATAGGGAGGTTTGGCAAAATTTAAAAATTCAAAATCATCAGCAATGCAAAGATCAGCGTTTTAATATTTATTTCTCTATTTTATTTTATTGGACATATTTTTTAAAATTCTGATTCATATCATTAGGTAGCTACCAGTGATAATAGTTTATTGCTTTTTCCAAGAAGTTCAACTTTCAAACTTAAAGTATTGTTCATTCAAAAAAAGATAGTTCCACTCTCACTGCTTCACTTGGCTAGCCTTTAAAAAATAAATTAATTAAATAAATAAATAAAGATAGCAAGATGCAAATACTTATGAGTTAACCTGTCAGTACATATCACTTGGTTTCTGGTTTTTACTTGGTTAAAATGTGGTACGTAGTATTTAGTTTGAGTGTGTATTTGAGATCTGTTTGTTTATTTATTTATTTTTTTAATGAAAGTCAAAGCAAACATTTGTGTAATCCTTCAGTCTCTTCCTTAGAACCTTGTTACCATGGAATAGAGTTTGAAAACCAGTGATCTAAATTCTAAGCCCCAAATCCTTTAGTATTTAGCATGAAAATGTAAGATCCCATTTCATTTGGATTTTATCAATCTAGCTGCATTTCCCACCAGTGCCAAATTTTCACCCAGTTTCCTAACTCTATCTTCATCTCTCATAGGGTTATAGTTTTACACTAGTTATTTTCTCTGCCAAATGTGACTCCTGAACTACTGTCTTCTAACCTGAATTTCTATCAAATTAATTCCAAAGTTAAAACATTAACTCTCTATGATGCTCTCTTTGAATGTGCTCACAGGACCTTGTATACACTTCTATCTAAAACTTGTGTTGTCTTGTGTGATAATCATCACTTCCTCTCAACTGTGAGCGCCTAAGAAGGGACTAATTTAACTATCCTGGAGTTCTCAGGGACTTTCAACATGCCTGCAATCTAGTAATCATTCCTTAAATGTTTTAAATTCATAAACTCATTTATTAATATTAATAACAAGTAGAGTAGCTAAAACTGTGGATTTGCATCAAGTTCTCAACAGATAATCCTCTCATTGATTGACACTTTAGGTTAAATAAGTACTAAGTAGAAATCACTTTTCTAAATCATGCTAATTTTCATTTTAACTTCATTTTTCTTTAATAATGGCCTCACTCACCAACATACGAAAGCAGGATCACCAGCAAGAGAATGACAGCACAGATACATGGAATCAGGATCAGCAATAGGAACCGGAGGAGGTTAGAAGTCGCCAGCTTCTGAGAGCAGCCATCGCCCATGTTATTGTCATCAGCTCGCAAAACCTAAAGTAAAGGAGGAAAATGCAAAATGGTTTTAATACTACACAACAATTCAGTGCATGCTATGACATTTTAGATTAACAGCTATTCATTTAGAACAGCATAATTCCAAAAAGACTACTGTTTGTGCTTTAGGGTATGAAATGAGCTTAGTCACCAACTCACGCCAATAAATGAACAGATAACTATACAGAGCAAACTATCTATTTCTGAAACATTTTTCAGGAATATATGAACTTTAAACAATATCCCATTTTGCTTTTTTAAAACGTAGTTGTCAATTTGGTATGATGCCAAAGGCCTGTGAATGACCATGACAAAACCTTACCCTGGCCCAGAGCTATGATAGAAGTGAAGACTGCTCAATACAGTAATAAAAAATTGGTAAGTAGGTATAGACAGGATATTATCCAGACTTCATTCTTTTTTGTCTCATTAGTCTAAACCAAAACTGAAAGAATCTGGATAAAATAAGTTTTGGGTCATTAATAATTCAGCCAGCCTCACTGTTACTGACCATGCATTTAGTGACAAGTTGAAACATAAGGAAGAGTCTGCCCTGATTGCCAATTAAACACTAACAACTCTGAGGACATCCTCAGCCGTCCATGCTGCCCCTACGGCCCATCCATTGTGAGAGGATGATAAAGTGCAACAATGATGGTTCAGATAAAGTTCTTGTCTTCAAATGCTTCAAATTTTGCTTAGTTCAATCTCTTGCCAGAAATGGTATCTGGAAACTCATTTATTATAAATGGCTAGCTTAGAGCAATGACATCTTCAAACGACATCTGAGATGGTACTAAAAGGGCTTTGAATCACTACAAGAAACTTTCCTGGTCTTCTTAACGAAGGCATTTCTCATGACTCTCTCTTGGACTTCTGACGCATTTTCTCCTCTGACAGTTTGAGAACTTGGACTGTAACCTCGGTGTAACTAACTCCTGAATCTCTCCTGCATGCTGAACTCCCTTCGGAGTTACACCATATACTTCCAGTGCCTGGTGGTTAGCAGCACCTCTTCCCAACAAGTCCAAAACTAAGATGAACCGTTTCTGTCTCTCTATCTTCACACTAGTTCTCCTGACTTCCATATTTGTGTTTACAGAAATTCCTTCATTCTAATAACCCAAATATTCCCCATTTCATCATCCCCATATGCCATACATCACCAGGTTTTGTTGGTTCTTCCTCTGTAATAAATACCAAACTTTTTATTTTTTGAAATCAATGAGCTTTGAGAAAGACCCTTATAATAAGTTGTCCTAACAGAATGGTCCTGTAATATTCTCAGGAATTCCTGACTAGTATTTGATTATTTCCCATGGATGCAAAGGCAATTTTGATGGGTTCTTCTCAATTACAAGGCATATATGATTCTCCATTTCTGCTTTATTCCCCCTACATAAGAATATGGGTTCACTAACCTATATTGCAAACTGTGTTCACCACCTAATATGATTATACCTTCTGTAATTTTAGGAATTCTCCATGACAGACATTATTTGAAATAACTTATGTTGTTAACTTCAGAAGAGCTTCATTTTCTAGGTTAATGTCTTACTGATCCATTTCCTCTGTACCTAGTTTAAGCTATCAGCCAATGTGTTATCATTTACAATTAATTTATAATTGATCTTCAAGAAGACATAGCACTGGCGCAATATAATATGAGATCTGCAACAGCATATGGATTACAACACTAACATTGGACAAGCAGTACCCTTTCAGGCTTGTATACAACACTTATCTACAAAAAAAATCAGCAAATAAATAAAAGTGTGGGACTAGGCCAACAAAGATAGTGACAGAAACAAATTGTTGATTTCACTTAGTTATTGAACACCTGCTAATTATAATAATAGTGATGGATGTGACAATGACTTCAAGCCACTGTCCCTCAAAAGCTCACAGTCTTGTAGGAGGATGATATGTACTTGAATAACATAACTATAGTGCAAGGTAGCAAATGATAAGCACCAAGAAACTTATAGCTAAAGTGACATAAGAATTCAAAAGATAGAAATATGATTTCTTGCTGTAAGATCACATAAGACATTGTAGAGAGAGCAACCCTGAATCAGCCATAATTCTGAGAAAAGTACCCCCGAAAAGGTCTGTTATGGGTTTTAAAAAGCTGCAAAATATCTACAGAGAGGTAAGAAAGTGTGAAATGTATTTAACTTCTGCAACAATGAAGACACTTCCTTGCTAAGGTGGTCACAGATGCATTATAGCGATAATGTCGGATGATGAATTCACAATGGCTCATTGCCATCCGGACTCCTGGAGCCAGATATATCCCATTTAGCATTCATACTTAAAGTGTCAGTGGAGAAAATGATAGAGGCTCATTTTAATATCTCAGCAAAGTATATATCAACAAGTACTGGACCTCCAAAAACCATACTCATGATTAGACCAAATATTTTCTCAGTGACGAGAACAATGATTGCTTTTTTCAAAGGGAGAGGAGGAAGAAATACGTAGGAGACATCAGCACTTTCTTCTTTAATAACTTGCATAACTTTCCTCTTGCCCTCATGGCCGCTTAGGACTGTTGCAAATGATACATTATACACGGGCCCTTGGAGATTCCACTGAACACAAGGCAACTCTCAAACTTCACTGTTGAGTAAATGCCAGGTGAAATAAACAACCATATCATCCTTAAGCTTTGTTTCAATGGATTCTAAATGGTCCTCTCTCCAAATGGCATCCCTCTTCCACAAGCACCTTCCCCAGCCTTGAAACTAAGCTAAGCACAGGCACAGAATTCCATGGCTAGGGCAGGGAACAACACATCTCATTGGACCTGCATCTATTCATAAAGCATGTCATTCTTATGATTTTGTTGTTTTTATTTTCAGTTTTGGTTTTTGGGTTTTTTGTTATTGTTTTGTTTTGAGACAGGGTCTCACTCTGTTACCCAAGCGGAAGTACAGTGACATGATCTTGGCTCACGGCAACCTCTGCCTCCTGGGCTCAAGTGGTTCTCCTGTCTCAGCCTCCTGAGTGACTGGGATAACAGGTGTGCACCATCCATCGCTCCCATCTAATTATTTTGTAGGGACAGGATTTCACCATGTTGCTCTGGCTGATCACAAATGTCTGGGCTTGAGCAATCCACCCAATTTAGCCTCCTAATTGTTCTTATGTTTTAGTAATCTTGTTAGTGAAAATCTGTTTCTTGCATCTTAAGAACAGACCAGGCACGGTGGCTCACGCCTATAATCCTAACATTTTGGGAGGCTGAGGTGGGTGAATTGCTTGAGCTTTGGAATTTGAGACCAGCGTAGGCAACATGGTGAAACCCCGTCTCTACTAAAATACAAAAAATTAGCTGGGCAGGGCAGTGTGCACCTGTAGTCCCAGCTACTCAGGAGGCTGAGGCAGGAGAATCAATTGAACCCGGGAGGCAGAGGTTGCAGTGAGCCAAAATCGCTCCACTGTACTCCATGGAGGACAGAGCGAGACTCTGTCTCAAAAAAAAAAAAAAAAAAAAAGAACTAATTATTTAAAAAGCTGTCATGTTGTTTTGTATAACGTACACTGACTGGCACAATATGCCACTGTGCCAGAATCCTAATGCCATCTTGGTGTCATCTGAGAGGCCAAAATTTCAGATAGCCAGTTCCTCCTTCTTGAAGCACTTTCTTCCTTTGGCTTCTCTTTCTCCTACTTCTCTGGTCATTCTTTTTCTTTTCGGAGGCTCAGTTCTCACATTCACTTGCTCCCCAGGTAATGTCACCACACATATAACCTCAATCAGCAGCCCTCCATGGGTGACTTGCATCTTTAAATGATAACCACAGATCTTTCCTCTGATCTCCAGACCATTATATGCAACTGACCACTTGACATCTTCTCATTGGATGTTGCAAAAGTAACTCAAACCCAACAAGTCTGAAACCAAATAAACAATTTTCATCCCCATATCTGGTATTCTTCCAGGGTTTGCTATCTCAAAAAAAAAAAGGTAATTTCACAGCTATATTTGTCAGGCATTGTTTGGGCACTTGGGATATATTAATATGCAAAACGAAACTCATAGATGATACATTTTAGTAAAAATAAACATCACGTCCCACCTGAAATGCTGCAAATGCCTCCTCCTGTCTGGTTTACCTATATTTATCAATGCACTCCCTAACCTGTTCTCCACGCTATAGCCAGAATAAGAAAGAAGCTGTATTATCTTTGGATGATGAGAGAAGACAACATGAAAAATGACCCCAAAGCTGAACTAATTCAAGAATGCAGAGCCTGGAACCAGAGCTGATCATGAGAACCATGCACCCACAGGATGTGAGCGCTCTTTGGATTTACACAGCGTGTACTAGGTTTTGAGTCCATTTTATCAAGTTTGCAAAGGACAAGGAGACCATCATTGACATTTCAAGTACATAAGTCTTTACCCTCTTTTACCTTCAGGCAGCATTTGACTCTGTCAACACATGGTACATTCTTAAGGGCACTTCCAGAGCTGCAAATGGCAGAGAATATTTGAGAGCCTGTTTGGAGGTTCTAGCAGGGGAGTGAAGCTACTTGAATACCCTTGACCAAAGATGGGTCCTCATTTATCTGGGATGGTCATCCTCTTCGACCAAGCAAACAGCTTCAGGAAGGACACACATGGAGTGGTGAGGGAGGAAGGGGACACCTGCCTAGCCAGCCAGATCAGTTGAATCAACCCTGACAATCAATGGGGTGACAGATGTCACAGCCAAACTGTCCTCACATCCAACAGAAACTATTTGAATACAAGGAGCTACAGTCCTGTCAACACCTCAGGCAGAAGAGTTACTCCCAAGGCCAGAGCTAGGGCTTACCAAAGAGCCAATGAACCAGATATCTCTGACTAGTGGTTTTAGGTGGGTTTGTCCAGATAATCCTTGGAAGTGGGAATAGCTGCCAACAACCAGGTTACCCTAAAGCAGGAGTTCACCCCAGAGAAAACCAAGTGAGAATTATTTTCTAATTGGTTGGGCTATCTTTTGGGA